TACGACACTGTCTGACTTGAGATAAATCAATATCAGCATTTCAAGACATGTGAATGATGAATCAATGGAAAATGATTTGAAAAAATGTTCGATGAAGAATGCTTCTGATAATTGTAATGAGACGAGTCGATGAATGTTTGGAGTGATATATATATCGAGTGACTTTTGGGTGGGTGTGGGTGTGGGTATGTGGTGTGGGTGTAGGTATGGGTGTGGGTGTGTGGTGGGTGTGGGTGTGGGTGGGTGTGAGTGGATGTGAGTGTGAGTGTGGGTGTGGGTGGGTGGGTATGAGTGTGGGTGTGGGTGTGGGTGGGTGGGTATGGACGTGGGTGTTCTTCTTCTTTAAATCCACACCCACACCCACGATAGAATGCAAAAGGAAAATTGCACCTTCTGAATCATAGTTATTCTTATGATCACCAGAACAGTGCTCTTTTCAATTTTTCCAAAGAATATTTCCTTTTTTCTTTGTGTTACAACCTGTTATAAATGAATTATAATGATCGCATTATGCAAAATTCTTTAAACTTTGACAATTTCAACATACGAAAGTTTCCAACACCCTTATTGTTTAGTGCCTATAAACTCCGTTTTTGACGGACTTTCATTTGGTATAAAATTCATTATTAACTCTATTTGAAAATATAGCGATGCCCTCCTGTCAAAATATTTTTTCCGACCTAGTAGTGACCTCCGCTCTGATCTATACTAGTCGATCAGAGTACAATATTTTTGCATAAAAATTCCAGAATAATCATATTTCTTCAAGAGCTACATTGACTCATCGTGGGTGTGGGTGGGTGTAGGTGTGGGTGTGAGTGTGGGTATGGATGAAAATAACATGAACCCACACCCACCTCAACACCCACACCCACACCCCACGCACCCACATCCACATCCACACCCTTTGTGGCTTCCCTCCTCCTCTCCCACCCTCATCGCAGATCGTGACAGACGCCTCAGTTCCTATCCTCACAGTGTCATCAACTCCATCGTACTTCATAAGAACAAGTAGCCGTGACCGGTTTCGTCCTTGCTTAAGGGAATTATCAGACGACTGCTTGTTCATATTAAGTAGCCATAGCCACCGCTAAGTTTTAGTTGAGAGATTTCTTCGTGCTACACTAGGCTTTTTTTGTGGGGCTTTCTCTATTTTTTGTGAACTTCTGTCTGAAGAGAAAAGTTCTTTCGACGAGCAAAAAAAATGAGGAATTCTACTTGTCGTCTCGTATTGACTACCTATGTTGTCTTCTACTAAGTTCTAGAAAAGTAGAAATAAAAAAGTACAGTATAAGATCAATTTCGAAGAGAAAAGACGTGATATCCACTTTATAAAACTTCTATTAGTTACGTCGAATGTAAACAAAATGTACACTACAACAGAAACACAAAGTAAAATGGTTTGCGATTTGATTGACACCATTTCGTAAACAACTTTCTCCTTGTCAACAGAAAAAGAAAGAGTGAAAGCTTCGTCGATTGTGTCAGTAATTGCGCGCACAAACTCGACATTTCTATCACATGGACATAGAGGTGAGAAAAAAAAATTGATTTAAATGGCAAGAGCATTTGTGACAGACTTTGATATTGACGAGTTAAACATTGCCGAGAAAAATTTACAGAATTTTCTTTTCATTCAACTCGACGATGAACCTTCTGTCTCTTTGAGAAATTCATCGAAATCTTTCCCATATAACAAAACCAGTGGTTATCGATTAAAATTATTTGTTGGTCTACAAAGAATAGCTCAATATGTTTATCGATTTCATAATGTTCAAGATTGTCTGACATGTCTTTATGCAATTGCTAACTATGCAGTCATTCTGATCATATCTCGTAGTGAATCATTGAATGATGAAGTTAAATTGAAATTTCTCAATATGCCACATGTACTTTCTATTTATCAGTTTGGACAGATCAATCCGTGGCAAAAACTGTGGGGAAAAATGAATGAAGATGTCGATTTACACATATCATCAATTAACTCTTCACTCCCTTTCACTACAACATCAATCAAGAAGTTAAACAATCCAAATGAACAGTTTGTCATGAATCAACTATTAAGTAAATTACTATTGTATACTTCAAGAACATCTCGAAGTCAGTCTGATTTGTTTCTGTTTTGCCTGAAAACATTCGGCAATGATTCACGACTAGTAAATGCAATTCACCAATTCGATCGAACTTATGCCTCAGATCAAGCGATATGGTGGTATACAAGAAGTGTCTTCATCTATCGACTTCTCGGCCAAGTTTGTGATTCTGGTGATCCAAACTTGATGTTCAAAATTCGCTTTTATCTAGCAGATCTCTTTGAACAAATGAAAATGCTTCATCAACAACAAATGCCAGCCTTTCGAAATATTGACTTTCTCCAAGTCTATCGTGGTAAATTAATACCAATAGAAGAACTCGAACATTTTAAAAAGAACATAGGAAAGCTTCATGTCACTATGCGATTTTTATCTACAGTTACTCATAGAGAAGTTGCTTTAATCTACTCTGGTGATGGTCGTATATGGGAAACAGATTATGTTTCGGTTCTTTTCAACATCACAATAAATATGAAAGAGAATATCTCAAAACCGATTGCATTCATTCATGAATATAGTTCAATACTAGATGAGAACGAAGTACTTTTACCTATAGGCATGCTATTTCGTATGAACTCTATTCGACACGTTAAGGTAAGTCTCTTGCAAACTAATCAAATGTTCGCTTCAAACATTCTGTTATCAAGGAAAAACTATGGGAAATAAATTTTGAAGGAAATGTGCAGCAGAAATCTCTGAATAACAACATTCAAATGACAACTGATGAAACAAGTGACTTTCTCAGTATGACTGATCTACTCAACAATATTCATGATACTCAACATGTTTCGAAGTATTTCGAGCTTCAAGAGCCTATTGTTAAATCTTTAGATCAACCAAAATCGAGTCGAGTTCCATCCGAAATTCATCATCAAACAAAAGCTATAACCATGACTACTACAAAAGAACAACAACCTGAAAAGCAGAAAAGTAAGTGATCGAAACCATAAACCGAAACGAGTTAGAAAAATTGAAACTCAACTCGATTAGGTTTGAGTTGGATCGAGTCAAGTCGATTTACTAAATCCTTGACTCGATTTCAGTCTATGATTAGAACTATTATTCGGATAAGTTCCATTTTTGACATAGTACTCAATCGTTTTGTTGTACACTACAAGTTTCTTCCAAATACAGCAAATATGAATTTTCACTTGTTGAGCCTTCTTCTAATCGTATTTGATCTCTTACTTGATACTTTTGTGCATAAAAAGCTTGTGTCTACGTTTTA